TGAGTCTATGATCTTATATGGGAAAGGAAGATGATCTTGTAGCTCAGGAGACAACACAGGATGTTTTATTTGCAGTTTTTCATAGTCAACAGCACATAGATGAGAAACTCTTTGTAGTTGAAAGCTACCTGTTGCTTTAGATAAGAATTCCCAGCTAAAATGGTTAATCTTTCTGTGGAGCCCTCAGCTTTGTTTATTCTGTTGTCCCATCCAGGCTTTTTTCTCTAATAAATCTGTGGGTTCCTGCATTTTGTTTGTTGAGTCTGTCAATTAGTGAGTTCTTTTGTTTTATCTGAGTCTCTGTTATGTGGTGAATGTGCTGACTTTCCTAGCTTGAGTAAATTTTGGCTGTAGCTTTAACAAGGGGGATCTATATAAAACTAAACTTAAACTAAGTTAGTCTACATATACTTCTAAAGCTAATTTGGTTTATACTAACTTAATCTATATGTTAATTTTGGCTTAAAAACAGACAGGTGGGGGAGTCTTAAACTTCCTGGTCCTCTTGTCAGTCTTAGGGAACCACATTCCTACAAGATCACTAATTGGCTTTATTGCAATGGTTGGGGGTGATGTTTTACCCTTACAGGGTACCGTAATAACAGTAAAACTCACGGCAGAGAAATTGAATACAAGTCAATGCAAGGACAAAAGGGAGAGCTCGTAAACTGGGCCCTGCCTCAGTTTCTTCCCAGTCCAGGCCCTGCCTTAGAATGGGAGGCACCATCCTTACCAGCTTGTGTTGCCTGCATGGCCCCGTCACATGTGCATACCTGACCTATTTTCAGGACAACCAGGGGATCTGAACCTTCCTTTGGGTATGTGGCTGACTGAACTATAGTTCATTTGCAGCCGATCGGACCACTAGGCTGGGATCTCATTTTGCATTCTTCTGATTTAAAATGTTAAGCTTTTTGTGGAAGAAAAAAAAAAGGAAATATTAAGAATTAGAACTTCAGGGTACAATTTAGATTTCAATAGGTTCCATCATTCTATGGATTTGATTTTAGAGTATAGTTTACAATACGCAGTTTATTATTATTATTATTTTAGTTTTTGCTATAGTGCACATGCACTTGCCAGACAGAGAAAGAGTAGGAAAGAGGGAAAGTGAGAAATCACCTCCGGGGAGGACAGCCCACTACAAGCTGTTTTCCTCCATTTTCCTCTTGGGATTTTGAGCACTCACCTGTGCCCGGCATGATTTTCAAACTGCTGGACTGGGGATTCAAACCACACAGCTGGCTATGTGGGATCCAGTGCCTTAACTCATATTATTTTACCTGGACACACTTACAATTTTAGAGAATGACTAACGTGCTCTATTGCTTTCATGAGAGGAAAGCAAGAGTGGAAAGTTTTGTCACATTGCAAGGAATATGCCCTTAAATCATTATGTGGACTTAACTTTTGTAAATGCAGAATTTTTATTATAGTCTTTGTTCTCTAAAATTCTCATCTGACAATTGGAAGTGAGGAATCTTCTTTTATGGATTTGGATATTCTATGCATACGACAGCAAACCAAGTCATACCACTTCAATGTAAAACCAAATATCCACATGTATGTGCAGAAAAAGGACCACAGGATATGAATATTTCCTATGCACTGATTAAGCTTTTCCTTCCTTTACAGGCTCAACCTGGGAAAAGACATTTCGGCAGATTGGCTTTGAAAGGTAAGCGGAGGTTAACATGTCTCCACTTTTAGCTACTATTATCCTACTTTGGTCTAAGTAATGTATTGATTATGAATCAATAGTCTTGCTACCACTGCTTCAGTAACTGCATGACCTTGAGCAAGTCATTATTTTTGCCCCTTTAACCTCAGTTTCTTTGTAAAATTGAACTTTACCAAAAAAAAAAAAAAAAAAAAATCCTACCCTGCACAGAGTGGAAATACAGATTAATGGAGCAGCTTGTATGAAAATGTTTTCTTGAACTTCAAAATGGTATGAACAATAAATTGTATAATTGGAGAATTGTAGGAAATAGAGTCGAGTCTTTCCTAACTTCATACTTCACCTATCATATTTGGCTCTGCAGTTTTAATACAAAAAATTATAGATAGATAGATATAGATAGATAGATAGATAGATAGATAGATAGGATAGATAAAGATAGATAGATAGATAGATAGATAGATAGATAGATAGATAGAGATTTACAGTTATTAAAATCGTTAGCTCTTATTGGCTCTAATTGAAAACTGAGATCCTGTTGATCTTAGTTGAACAGCTTCATGTTGATTTCTTGTCCTTTGACACAAACCCACTGGTCTTTATAATTTCTGCATTTCTGGCACAACTAGATATACTGAGGTCGTAGTATTCCAACCTGAAGTAAGTCTTTTCTCCAAGGAGCACTGCTTTCTTCTGTGAGGAACAGTCATTTGAAGCCACAATTAAACACTAGGGATGTTCATCAATTGTGGGGTGATGTTGTTTATGGGCCTATTTAATCAATGGAACTAAGACATTTTTGAAAAGGATAAATTCCAAATTTCTATAATATTCCCAATTCAAATATAGCCTAGCAGAATTTTTAACTTCTTGGACATTATATTTATACCTCTTTTATTTTTCATTGAAAATCTTGATTCTTAACAAAACTTCATTTTAAAGTTTGTGTAATATTTTCAAAATAATCCTAATACTAACAGTAGTAACAGGATGATTAGATGAAACTTTAACTTTTTAACCTCATCGGGGCTAGCAGGTGGCAGAATGGTTAAGTTGTTGGACTCCCACATCGCTGACCATGGCTCGGGTCCTGGACCCTGCATCTTGAAAATCACTCCTGGTGCCTATGTGTGCATGCCCCAGATCTCCAGAGAATGGAGGAGAAGGGATTGTGATGTGGTCAAGACCCCCTGGGGGGTGATTCTCATTCTCTCTCTCTGTCTGGTGAGCTGGGGAGCACATGTGCCTTATAGCAAAAATTAAAAAAAATAAAATACTGTCAGAAGAATGAAAACTAAAATTATTGGAAGTGTTTTTTTCTATGTGGGCCATATTCCAAATGTTTTATATAATTTGGTTTGTTTCGGAAATTTAAATACTTCAGCAGACTTTTTCCTTTTGATTTAACTTTGTGATTTAATTATATGATTCCAACTACAGGTCATGTGACTTTTTGTAAGAGAAAGTTTAAAGTTTTTATCACTTTTTATTCCTTTGTGCCCTGCTGCTCCTTTCTCTAGACATAATCATCTATTAACTTTTGATTTAACCTCCTGATACTAACTTTTGCATATGTAAGCCAATACTGATATATATCTGTAGCCTTGTTTTGCTCTTGAGTGAAGAATGTCATATTATATTTATTTTTCTGCACTTGGATTTTTCCACAGAAGTATATCTGGGAGATCACTCCACACTGGTGTACAGATATTCTCTGCTCCATTAACATGCAAGTAGCACTCTTTTACATGGAAGATCAAAAACAAAGGATGAGATTGTCAAGTCAGATTCACAGGTCAGGGGCCTTATACAGTATCTAGCTTTATTAATAATTTCAAGGACACATGTGATCACGGGGCCACTGGTAATGCAGGAGAGATCAGGATATCATTTCACGGGTATCTCAGGTCCTTTTACACATCAGAGCCAGGCTCTCTGACTCAGAGTGGCAGATAAGGTTTCTAAGGAGGTTGTGGAAACTTCACTTAGCAGGGAGCCTTTAACTTTGCAACATCCCCAGCTTTATACTGAATAAAGTTAAATAGCTCATCTGAAATTCTCCTGGTAGTCATAATTATGATCATATATCCAAAACCAGAGATGCCCGGCTTGAAGCACTCCATCTATCAGGACTCTCTCCCTAGCAAAAAGTCATTCATCTATCTGGTAATATGCTTACAAGGAATTAAACTATTGATAAGTCACCTACCTTCTTTCCCATCCCAGTGTCTCCTTGGTGATCAGAGGGGAAATGGATCACAGGCTCTTTGCTTTAACTCCTCTTGTTCATACAATGTAGTCCATTCAACCAATACCCAATGCATGAACATTTAGGTTGTTTTTTAGTCTTTTGCTCTTACCAGGAAGAAAAATGAATGAATAGCCTTGCACACACTTATATTGTTGCCAAATATCTTAGGACTAAATTCCTAAGTATAATCAAAGAGTAAATTCACTTGGAATTTTGCCAAATTTCCCTCCATGGAGTTTCAACAATTTTCACTCCCACCAGCAGTGCACGAGAGAAACTATTTCCTCAAAATCCCTAAGTATGTTCTAATTTCAGACAACATGATAGGTTAAAAAGTGTTATCTCAGGGACAGCAGATGGCATGGAGGTTAAGGAGAATGGATCCCACATAACTGACTCTGCAGTTTGAGTCCCATACTTGGCAGTTTGAAAATCACGCCAGGTGCACATGTGTGGAGATTCTCTGCTATATCCTCAGTGAAGCAAAACTTCTACAATGGTAAAGGAATTAATGATCAATAGGATTTAGCAATTGAAACTACATTTTATTCTTAACTTCTAAGACCTTAACCACTGCACACTTGAATGATGAATTAGTAAAAGCTGCTACCATGTATCGAGCCCTGTAGTAAATCATTTCTAGTTCATACAATAACTCTATAGACCAGTGTTTGGCAAGCTTACTGTAAAAGGGCAGATATTAAGTATTTGGGGCTTTGTGAGCCATAAAATTTACATTGTTAACTTCTCAATCTTACTGTTGTAGCAGAAAGCAGCTGTAGACAGTAAGTACAGCTATATTTCAATAAAGCTTTATTTATAAAAACAGATCTCTAACAGGGTTTAACTGCTGGTCATCACTTGTTGACTTCCCTGATTGTAGACTACAGTCACCATCTCACAGGCAAACAAAACAAAACAAAAAAATAAAGCAAACTCAAAGAAACCAAGTAGGTCACACATATAGTCAGTCCCTTGTATTGACCTGCATCCTGTTTCAGAATTGTCTATGTTTTATTTTTTCTTATCCCTTAGCTCTGGGGTCATAGTATCAAGACTTAATGGGAACCAGCAGTTAGCGTAATGGCTATGTCGCTGGACTCCCACGTAGTCAATTGCGGTTTGCGTCCCGGACCCGGTGGCTTAAAACTCACACCGGGAGGAGAAGGGATTGCAGCGTGACCATCCCTCCTGGGGGGTGATTTCTCAATTTCTTGCTTTCTGTCTCTATGTCTCTCTCTGTCTTTCTGGTGAGTGCATGCGCCCTATAGCGAAAATCTCTCAAAAAAAAAAAAAAAAAGACTTATTTACGATCCTAATTTTGTAACTATTTTGGTTAAGGTCAGAAAATATCAATTCTATATTACAATGCCTCCCTAATATTTTTAGGCTTCCAATTAGATGTACAAATAAAAAGGCATATATCAAATGATAAGTTTATTTTTGGAATGTAGTGTCGTCAGCCCTAACTTCTCAGTACGTATACTAGGGGTCCATTGAAGGCATTTGGTGATAACTCTGGTTTTTAGATGTTGTCTTAAAATATCATGCTGTTTTTCTCATGTCATCCAGCATTTTCTCATTTAAGGGCCAACAGCATTCTGTGCATCATAGGAAATATCTTAAATTGATCTTCAGGGTTATTGTGCATTTACAGTTGAAAGACTGAGTGTGTCAGCAGTGCAGTTAAAGATGGCTTTGCTCTTTTTCTTTTTATTCTCAACTTGAACCTATTCTTTCTCTTAAAGGGAATTCCAGTATATCATACATAAAGCTATTTGGTTCTTTAGCGTGATTGTACGAGATATTGATCCTTTCATTGCTATGTCCTTCTTTGAAGTTTGCCCATCTATCTGCTGGCCAGCAAATGACTTTAAAGTAATCACCTCTAAGGGCAAATAATAACTGAGTCAGCTAAAGCTTCAAAGCTTGCTCCAAGAATAATTTTTTTAAAAAAATGGCCTCTGTTGTACACTGTGTGACTGAAAGGAAGCTTTTGACGTCTGCCCTGCCTGCTCTCCTTATAGTAACATGTGGTGGGATGGTGGTGGACCTCCTCAGGAGAGGGTGTTCGGCCATTTCCTTTCTGGAAACTGTGTGATTATATTCATTGTCTCAGTATAATACACATTGTCTTAGTTTATGTAGCTGAATTCATGATGCTATGTCCTGTTCACCTTACAATCATTTCCCCTTTGTGGAGTATCAGGGGTTTATTTTAGAGTCCTACCTTAAAGAAGTATGTTGTGACATAAGAAGGAAATGTTGTAATGCAGGTTCAAGCATCTCTGTGTCGCTTCCCAGACACCTTGTGCACTCCTGATCCTACATACCAGGAGTATGATATATATCATATATATATATGATATATATATATATATATATCATATATATATATATAAAACAAAAGTAGAGTTGAAAAAATACATATACTATAGCAAAACAGTCTGTACCTAACACATTTTGGTTTCATTGAGAAAGCTCACCCTCCTGTGCAGATTTTCTAAGTTTATGACAATACATGATTCCAAATCACAGTCATCTATTCATCTAGGTTAGGCTGATGCCAGGTGAGTGTGACTTTGTAAATTCCTTGACATCTGCAGGCTGTAACCATGTGTTTTTAGCTACTAGGTGGTATATTTGGAGCCACAGCGGCCCAAATTCTCAGTGGCTCAACACAGCAAATGCTTCTTTCTCACCCATACAAACTCTGATTAGGAGACCAGGTGACTTTACAAGGCTG